CCCCAAAACCCCAAAACCCCAAAACCCCCGTTGATCAATAATTCTCAATGAATTAAAATTTGAATAAAAGAAATCAAACTCTGAAAATCAAATATAATAATTGAATTAGGCATTTAAAAGTATGAAAAATAGCAGTTAATAATCACCAACAACAAATACTTCCCTGAATAATCAATTAATGGCCTAACTCAATCCAGGTTCATTGACTAATCTTGCTAAAACTCGTATTATAGACCCAACTATGGCTGATAAAATACTCTCCCAGTCTCAGATTCTTAGAACTCGCAGGACGAATAACTAATAAGATGACAACTTAAGTCAAAGTAGTAATTTGAGTAAAATAAGTAATTCTAAATTTCTTCAAGATCATATGGAAATTGAGGATATGAGGAAGAGCCCAACTGAAAATCAAGATTCTAAGCTGAATAATGAATCTTTGAAGGAGTCACAAATACTTTCATTTAGTTAAAAATCGAACATAAAATTGTCTTAGTTTCATAAGGCGTAAACTCTTAATTCCTCAAATCAAAATAATTAGCATTAAGAATAATAGTCTATGCACTCATTTTAGAAGAAGGTGAATTTTTCCGCAAAAAATCACTAATCTGAAGTTAATGATAAATAGAACCTAAATGGGAATAATTTATATGTTTCCAATCCGAATTATGAAATGTAATAGGACTTTTTTCATCAGAAAACCTCCTCTCCGAATGATAAAGACTATGATAGATACAAGCTTTTGATGCCACTCTAACCTCAGATTGCTATTTCACCTTTTAACAATATCTAACCTGGATAGACCTTTAGCAACAACAATTAATCATAAAATTCATCTCTAATGTATTAAACGAATAGAAAACAGACTCACTTTAATGATGAGATAGACTATAACATTAACTGCACACCTGACTTCAAAAATATTCAGGAAGAGTTATTTTAGTAATTTTGGGACTAGAATTTTTAGTAGTTTCAGTAAAGTGATACTTCACAGTTAAATATATCTAAAGACCAAGCAAGTTAAATCTTCAAAGTCATATCATAAAACCTGGATAAGTTCAATGAGATTATAAAGTAAACTAACCATAAATCATAGGCTTCTAAATCAACATAGCAGTCATCCCAATTAAATAGCTCATAGATTACAAACCAAATTAAAGTTGAAAGCTTAGATAATCATAAAAGATAGATAAATAATTAGTCCCAATCTGCAACATAAACTGGAATGCCTAATTATAAGGAAGCCTGCACTTAAACTATACATTCAATTTTTGATAAGAGCTCAAATACTTAGCAGAGTCGATTAGGAATAGCATAAAGTGGAAATACATAGAAAAATGATTAATCACAAATAAGTATTTTGCAAGATGAATCAAAGCTAGTTAAGGCTCTGGACAATTTTCACATAAATTCTTAGAATAGTACAACTTAAAATAATATCAGTGAAATTAGAAGAACAAAGAGAAGGAGAGATGAATTTGAAAAATAATTGGAGCAGAGTTCAGCAAATAAGTAATAACAATCGGCAAATTAATCAAATCGCAATTTTAATGACTATATTTAGATGCATTAGTCAACAGGAAAGAAAAGAAAATTGAATCAAACTAATCAGAGCAGAAACAATACTAGTTATGATATTTAAAATAACCAGAATGCATGAGTCATAAATAGGTTTGATTGATTCTGGAAAAATAAAAATTATTTGGCAACTCAAAAAGGACAAGTTGATAATATTTCTGAGAGTTTGAATTTATGATAATCTTAATTAAATCACTAACATTAATAAATTCACTAAAATATAATTGAAACACAATTTTTAAGTCAAGTTATAATATCTTACGGGGTTTTGGGGTTTTGGGGTTTTGGGG